CGAAGGTGCCTTGAAGTTCAACTGCACGTGCTGGTAGGATGCTAGAAGGGATGGAGATGGTAGCCGACTTGTAGGGTGGGCGGCTGCCTGCTAGGTAAGTGTCAAGAGGAGTTGACAGCAGTTGGACGAGTGTTGGAAGTGGCTGGCTGCTGGAAGGTGGTTGGAGGAAGCAACAATGCGGGCGGCCACTTGGAAGGGAAAGGATCTAACTGGCGGCCTGCTGGTGCCACGGAAGGGTGCAGCAGCCTGCTAGTAGCAGCTGGTGCCATCGACGACTTATTGGAGTTTTGTTGGAGGGGCTGACTGCTTGCTGGCTTGCCGATGTTGAGTGGTGACAGCGGAAAAGTGAGAGTCACCATCTTGGACGATTTACAGCATGATCATCTTCTTGTCGTCAGCTACAACCCTCGGCAGGGGTGACAAAATTTTGAACTCAAAAAAACAATTAAAACTCGCTAATCTAAGCGCGCGTGCGTGCACACACACACACATAAAATAATGATTAGTAAATAGAATAGGTAAGGATTAGAATAAGAAACAAATAGAAAAGAAAGGACATAGAATAGGCATGAAATAGAAAAGGAGAGTAATAGAAAAGGAAGGAGGAATAGGAGGGAAATGGAAAAGGAAATGGGAAGTTTGGTGGGATGGCAAATCCCACCCCTTGTGAGTGTTGGTTGGTCCAAGAGGGGCTAGATCAAAACTTTTTCACGGTCCCCTCCTCATGATTCCCGCCCCTCACAACTTTGCGTTAGTATATATGGTTCATTTGATTGCTTGAAGATAAACATGATTTTAGAAAGTGTTGATATTGTTCACACCTACATTGTGTGAAATTAAAATTATCACACTTGAGGGATTTTGATGGCCCCTCACATCTGCGTAAGTATATATGGTTCATTTGATTGGTTGAAGATAGAAAACATGTTTTTAAAAAGTGATGATATTGTTCACACCTCACACCTATTATGTGTGTGAAATTAAAATCATCACACTTGAAGGATTTTGAAGGTATTTTACAGATTTTAAAGGCAAGATTAATTTCTAAATGACATCCAACTAAATGATGGAATCTAAAAAATTTATTACTTTTAAATTACATGATTCTTAATTTCAAGAAAACAAACTAGGCCACTTTACGTCCATCAAACTAATAATGTAACATTGCATCTATCATTATCTAAGTTCTTCTATGAGTAATCTTTGTTATTCTAGTATTAGGTGTGTTCTTATTCTTATAGTATGCAAACTTTTGCTCTTATTAGATTTCTGTCATTTAATACTTCTACACATTCAATGGTAAGACTTTAAGCTTGGTGATATTGTGTCATCAAGTCTAGAAAGTCAAATTGTGAACTCTATAGTGCTTAAACCTCTGCTGAATCACGAGAAAAAATAATCTAAGATTAACTAATTTGTACCCATACATGTCAATAGCACAAATGGTGTACCGTGATGCAAGGTGCGACATGACACCCCAAAATGGTTCACGTTAAGGTGATTCCTCAGTTTACTATGAAATTGTATATCACACACACACACGCACTCACACATGCATATCAATATATATGTATATTGGTATATGTGGATATGCATTTTTTTATGATTATGATAGTTCTTTTGATAATTAGTTTAAATCTTTTATGAAACATTAGACTTTATAAAAAATATATATTTTATTTGAATTTTTCGTGATCAAAGCACAAAGCATGGTTTAAAGTTATGCAATATGAGGCCCACCTTATTTTTTTCTTGAAAAATTCTCAAAAAGGATTGCGCTTCATCGGCACTACATGAGGCTCACTTCACATAATGTGAGGCTTGCCTCAAGGCGCGTCAAGATGTATGCGATCAGATCGAAAATTTTTCTTAAAATAAATTTTAGTAAAATAACCCTGAAAGCATTGTTTATTTACCTATATTATACACATTTGAGCATATAATTGAAATTGTTATTATTGAAAATCATTATTTTAAAATATAGTAAATATTCTTATTAATTGATATTAATTAAATACGTGGAAGATGATTGAGATTTTAAATAAGTAGGATTAAGAGAACACATATACAATGGGAGAATAGTTTGAGATAAAATAAATTGTTATACACACTTTTGAATTAAAAATTTTTACCCATGGTGGCTTGTTACATTATTAGTTTGATGGATTATAGTAGAGAGAGATTCTCGTTGTATTGAAATTTTTTAAAATCTTTATGCAATTATATCTTACTTTAACATTTATGTAAGTCTTTTTATTTTATAATTTGATGTTTAGGTATTAGCATGTTATTTATTGTTTTAAACAATTTATTATTTTTACCATATTAGGATGTTACTATATTAATATTTTTCATTTATTATATTAATAGATTAGGTCATTACTACATACTTTAAACTTAGTACAATACTTCTTGTTCTGTGCAATTTATTAGTTTTAAGGCTTACACTTCATCGTATGGACAAAAAATGCCTCAATACCTAATTTTATAATTTTATGCTTTGGTGTTAAGTACTTGAATGTATGGAATAAAGTGAAAAAGTTGTAATAATGGGTGATCAAATCATTAAAAGAAGTGAACGTTTTAGACATCTCGGGTCTATTGTTCAAAGTGATGGTGATATAGCTGGGGATGTTATTAGTGGAATTCAAGTTGGGTGGTTGAAGTGGAAGAATGCATCGGGCCCTATTGTGTGATGGAAAAGTACCGTTTAGACTTAAAGGAAAATTTTATTAGATGGTGGTGAGACCTGCAATCCTTAATGATGCAGAATGTTTGCTTGTAAATGATAAGCATTAAACCATGTTAAGTGTTTTTGAGATGAGAATGCTTAGGTGGATGAGTGGCTTGACACTTAGAGACAAGATATGAAATGAATGCATCCATAAAAGGGTTGGTATAGCTCTCGTGGCAGACAAGATTAGAAAGAATCGTCTTAGATGGTTTGGTCGCATTAAATGTTGACCATCTGGTGATCTAGTTAGAAGAGTAAATGTTTTAGATTTGACATATGTTAAGAAACTTGGAGGTAGACCTAAAAAGACTTGGTCATCCTGTATTAAAATAATCTTAATTTTTTAGAATTAATTGAAAATTTGAGGCAATAGAACACAATATGATTCATGTAACCGATCCCACTTAGTGGGATAAAAGCTTGTTGTTGGTGGTGTTAAATACTTGAGCATGAGCATTTTTTTTGTTTTTATTTTGTTTTGTTTTACATTTCAATTTAATAGTTTTTTATATTTAGTTGTATTTTTATTCAACACTTTTTTATATTTTACATTATGTTTAAAATAGCTCTTGTCGCACCATGCACTATTCACTATCACTCTACAAGGGTTTTTGCGCTATGATGCAACATTTATCGTTGACAAATATGATTATTTTTACTAATTGCAATTTCAATTGGTTACCTTTTTTGTCATCGTATCGTCATTAGCCTTATCCCAATTATTTGGGGCAATTGTTATGAATCCTCATTTTCAAATTATTTATGTCGAGTGCTCTTTAAGGTATTAAACATATTCTTCATAAAATCTTTTTTGAATAATTTTATTTTTCGATTTAACCTTAAATCTACTTTCCTTCCTAATACTCTGCAATTAATTTTATCAACTCGTTTGATAAATTCATTATCTATGATTCATTGTATATATTAATACTATTTTAGTCTACTTTAAGTCACCGTATCCTTAAGAGTTGTCACTTCAACCTTTCCTTTAATATGATATTTGTTTATTTTATTCATGCTATTTTTTCCACACATCCATCTTATCATTGTAATTTTTGTCAAACTCAATTTAGAAATCATGGTTTTCTTAAAGCATAACATTTAGATTCATACTACATTGCCTGACTAATTGTCATTTTATAAAATTTATCTTTAAACTTTCACTATATCTGTTACCACCGAAAAATCGCAACACATTCTCTATTTTAGTCATTCAGATTTAACTCTAGAGATTATATGAGATGATATAGTCATCTATATCGCGATTCCTGGATAATAGATCTAAGATATTTAAATCTACCATATCTAGGTATTACCTTACCTTTCTGTAGCTGTCCCATTTTTATCTTATTCTTACAAAGTATGCTCATTTGACTTAGTTGAGTTTTTGTGCAAGGTATAGATTATGAAATAAGTCTATTTTGTAATGCAAATGCACCTGATGCAAATTGATATTAAGTACTTTTGAATTTTGATCTGATTGTCCGTAACTAGCTATTTGAGTTTAATGTCCTAATTGTGTTACTTATTTTTATCTTGCTAACTTTCATTGATAAGGTTAGTTTTTAACTTGTCAATAAAGTTGAGTTAGCTTGCTTTTGAGTATTTTTCTGGATCTTTGCTTTTTGATGGATATCTGGAAATGATGATCTTAAATTTTTTTTTTCAGGGTATCGTCTATCTTACCCTATTAGCTCTTGCTCTGAGCAGCTTTATTGCTTTTGGCATAGCTAAGCAGCATTATTTCTTGTATGTGGGGATCGCATCTACCATCTTAGTTTTGCTGTACTCAGGCTATTTTCGTGCTAGAATCAGGAAAATGTTTAATATAAGAGTAAGCATCTTTACTCTTGTTCATAAATCTCTAAGTTTAATTGATTCATCTCATTGCCGTATCTTTTTGGCATGAAAAAGATTATGTATTTATATTAGTGTAGGTAAGGTTTATTTCAAGTGAATGGTTTATATGCTATTTCATCAAGGTTAACAAATGCTATATTTAAATGTTATTTTTCTTTCTTCTTTCACCATGTTAGTAAAACCTTGTAACCAGGAAACTGTTAAAAGCTATATGGCAAGTTTGTTGGGTTCTCTTATTTTACTTGGATGAGGGAAATTCTGTCAGAAAATTTTGAAATTTGTGTTACCCCAGATGCTAAATTTAAAAGTCATTTATTTCATTCTTTAATTTACTATTTATTTTTCCAAACTATGCTACTATGTGATTGTTATTCTAATGCATTAGTGTACGTAAGTACTGAATTTCCATGTACAACCGCATCTTGTTACAAAATTTTCAAAAAATTATTATTGTGGAATAATCCAAACTCTACATGCATGTAAGAGCATATTGCTGGATCCGATGCCCTCACAACTGATGTGGCCTTTGGCAAAGAGAAATTTGAATCTTTTGCTGTAGCTTAATCTTAGAAGTGTGAAAATACGAGGCTTTATTTCACTGGCAACCAATCCTATATTTTGAGGCTCTAATGAATTTACTTGAGGGTTTAAGAGATGTGCAATATATCAAGACTGAATTAAGGCCAAATAAATCATCTATATATTCTATAGCATACAAAGAAAATGAAGAAATAAGCAAATACAATTAATTTTTCTTAGTACTGCATATGTAAATTCTAGATATAATAAGATCACACTTGGAGAAGCTGTTTTTGGGAAAGGCATACTACCATGATGCATTTGAAGGAAACCAACAATTTGGAGCTTCATGAGATGAAGAAATCACAAGTGATGAGTTTCTATTTCGTTGCTTGATTCTTAATTTATTAGTTCCATTGGCGCATTTCCGCTATTTTTATTAAAGCTTCAAGAAATGAAACAAGAACCTCTCATTCATGATAGGAAGGGATTTCATTCATTTTAAATATTCTTAACAATAATTGAATAATAAATTGTGAGTATGATGGCTCCTACATATTTGGAACATCTCGAAATACAGTCTAAAGTACCCTGATGTCTAAGCTAACGTCCCATGAGATCTTACAATATGACTTTGATATCAATCAGTTTTCAAGTACCAAAAATTATAAGCAGCATACCCTACATTGTACCTTATATTACTACTTCATCAGGAAGCACAAACTCCCATTTCCAGTATAGGGTGAGAAAATTTTCAATCTATGGTATGTGCGGTCTTCTTATAACTTGAATTGAACGTTATGGTATGTGCGGTCTTCTTATAACTTGAATTGAACGTACCATATGTTCAACTGCACAAAGCTAAATATTTTCTTACGAAAAACCCATCTTAGGCACGCTTATGAGTCATAGTTTCCACAGTTCAAAATATAAGTATATTTAATAATCTTCCATGCAAATCACCTACAAAGTTAAATTTAAAAATAAACATAATTTGCTTATGTTTCTAATGACTACTATAGAATTAGGCTACATCAATTGTCCCCATCTTTTTAATAAGTTGACTATTTTTTTGCACCTTAAACTGAGTTGTTGATGCTCCACTACTAATACTTGTGGTTTTTTTAATTAAGGTAATGCTCTTTTGCTTGAAAAGTTATTTGTAGAGTCTATGCAATCACTTATTTAGATGTGCTTGAAATGCGCCTTATTGTGCTATTAACTAAATATGCTTTGGGAGGTGTAGCAATAAACCTTACAACAAATGTGGAGAATGAGAGAAATCACTTTGCAATTTTTAAATTATGATTTCTAGCTTATAACTTTTGTTAGTCTTAGTTTTAAAATTTATTTGCTCTGCAAATTCTGTAATCTTATCCTAAAAAAATTAATTCTTTTGATCATTTTCTTTTTTACTTTCGAGATACGCATCCACATCTCGTGCTAAGGAGATCTGCTTGCTTATAACTAAAGAAAACACCAGGCAAATAAATGATTTCGGCACTGTTTTGTTTTGTTTTATTATTTCATAAATTATTTTTTATTTTCAATTTGAGTTTAAGTTTAAATTTGTAGCATGAATTTGATGATATGCCATATGATAACTAATTTAATTACTAATGCTAGATTTCTTCATATGGTCTGGCAACGGATCGACTATATGGTTTGTGGTTGATATTAGGCTTAAATGTTGCAGTTCAATTTTGATTCATTTTTAGAGCTCAATTATGCTTTCTGAGGTTCTTTAAGTTGAAGTTAATGGAGAATGAGATTTGTTGCACTTTTGTATAAGCTTTAATTTTTGCTGCTTGCACATTCTGCTTTTTTGATTAATATTACACGAGGATGTTAGGGGCCTTAATTATCATAATTATTTTTTTATAAGAGAATTTGGATAACATATGTATGAGGAATTTCTTTACCTCATTACTGACTTTCTTTGTCACTAATTTTAAATATTTGAAAAAATCATGGATTGAGTTTGAAGTTAACTGGAATTGAATTGGTTTGATTTTGTCTGAACCATATATACTAATCTAAATATTAGAAATGTGCAAAATTGATTGTCTAAAACACATAGTAATAAAAATTTTTATGTGATAGATTTTATATTCTAGTGATCAGTTTTGTGTGTACAAGTTGTATATATGATTCCTTTGAGTGAAATATGTTTGTGACTGTAATTCATTGGGAAGTCATCTTATTTTACTAATATGAGGCATGAATTTTTCTTCAGTGGACTCTTTTCTTTATGTAATTTCTTTTAAATATCTTATTATTACCTTGCTAGAGTCTCTTTTTTTGTTGAACTTTGGTAAGTTTAACTTTTAGAAAACTTGCAATCGCTCGTTTTACTTTATGCTGTTTTCATTTCTTGTTGATTCTTTTTGGATTTATTCAATCATTACATCACCTTTTGTGTTCTAAGTCTCTTATTTTTTATGTTTGCATTTGATGAAAGTGTGTTTAGTGGTTTTCAATCTGTGTATCTCATTTTTTTTGTGTTATGCATCAACTACATCATCCTAATTATAATAAGAGATCTAAATCCCAAATCATCTTGCATCATTATGTTGTGTTATGACACGTTTTCACTGAATCATTCAATAATCTTTGCAAAAACCAAGTCATCCCATTCAATAATGGACTGCTAATAATACCACTTTGGAGAGCTAGTTCGTAAGCGCAACCTTTGGTTTGTTGTAGGCTTGGTGCTATTTGTCCTTGCAACTGGATTCTTTAAAGTACCTTAAAGTAATCTCATTATGTGCAAACATGATATATATATATATATATATAGGTTTTAGTGCTCACCATCTTTTGCTATGTATATGTAAACTTTATGAGTAATCTCTCTCTTTCATTGAATTCTAGCATGAATGTTGATCATGCGCAAAAATATCTACTTACATGCCAGATAAATGGAAGTTGTAATTCAACTAATAGTTTTCAACATGAAATGGAGTCAGGGTAGTACATCTAATGAGGAGCTCAAAGTCTAGAATCATTAGTAGAAATGTGAAATATTTTATTGAATCAATTTTTATATTTGGTTTTTAGTAAGTTTGATGAGCCAGTTAAAGTTCAATTTTATTTTTAAGCTATCCTTCACATAGATTTCTATATATAGTTGAGCTATTGTCTACATTGGTTCATTGTATGCCTACATATATTGAATAATGTATGAAGGCGTGCCAATGGGTATTTCGTTTTTCTATGTTTATTTGACCTTCTTTGTACAAAGTTCTTCTTTTTTGGTCGAAGAGCATGTTGTTGGAATTATGGGATTCTTTATGATGGACTAGATTTGTGCAACAACCAAAACTAATCTAGAGGTCTGTTGGACTTACAAAACATGAAATATGCCATTCCACAGTTTTTTTATATCCCCTTTTTTTCTATTCAGTTAATTTCAAGTTGTGACTCTTTTAGTTTATGAATTTCTTGTTTATTTTCACATTTTGCATGTATGTTATGAGATTTTATAAATATAAATGCATTTATGTGAAAATTAGTTTATATCTTTATGAAATTTTTAAAGCCTCATTACTTTAACGTTCATTTCCAACAGCCCTTTCTTTTTTTTTTCCTTTTCCTTTTTTTTTTCAAGGCAACATTTAATTCATCTACCCTTTCCAAGGCTTGGTCAGTCATTCTTTTTCACATGATAAAGAAGCCCGTGTGGTTCTCTTATAAGATATCTTATAGTCGAGTGAAAATTGTTCGATGGTGCAATTTTCTTGTACTCTTCACTTTCAAGCGAGGATTATTTAGGAGCGTGAATGTGTAGTCTTTGGAGGACTTATAAGAGGGAAGATGATGACTGCCGCAAAGGGTTTCTTTCACATATTCGTCTTCTTCAGTATCATTGTTTGTTTTACTGGGTTGGCTAAGTTGTCATTGCAGGATCTTTTCTAGTGTTTTCATACTTTTTGTTCGTCTTTGTTAGTTCTTCTATAACATAGTCACTTTCATTGTCATAAAAAGCTAGCAACCGCTTGATCTTAACATGTTGAGTTGCTTCTTCATGCTGGCCCAAAATATTTTGTCCCAAATGACTTGCATTTTAACGAATCAAGGGCCTTACGATAATTCTTATTTCTTATAAACATGATCATTGCTGGCTAACATATTAGGAAAAAAAACTTGGGATTGATTTCCATCAGTGCAGCCTTACTTCACATTTGGGTATCTTTTTTCTTGCCATGCATGACGTTTGGTAGGGGCAACATAACCATGATATGACTTTGGAGTATGAGCCTAGGTTCTATTTTCACTATGTACAACAGAAGGGTTTCTAGGTGCCCAAAAATAAGGTTGTTGTGGTTTTGGTGCTATTAACTTAAAAAATATGGTGGCAATCTTCATTTTGATTGTTGTTGATTTTATGAGATCTGAATTTTTGTGGTAATTCATAGGTGCATCAGGTCCAGCATTTCTAAAATCGAAGTATAGTTTCCTCATCATGATTTATGTTTCACTCCATTAACAAATACTCATATAAAATGAATTTCTTTGATTGTCGTGCTAATATCAGCATGAATGAAATACTACAATTTTATGTTAGCAATACAAATTTCCGCATGACCAATGTGCAATAATCAAGAATTGGGATTTCGTGCTTGGGTTTGTTTGGGGAGTAAAGCGCTACTCTTTGAAATTATCTTCTGCCTTCTTGAGAAGGCACATAGAACCTGCATTATGGTCAAATGTTTATTGATGTTTTGGTTGTGTAGCTTCTAAGAGACTGACAGGATCCTAAGAGGCGAGCTTATGATTCATGTGTTTTTGTTGGCCTTGCATCATGTCCATTTTATTATGCAGCTCAAACCGGCTATCCTCTGTCGGCATACTTGATACATATTTCTGTTCCATGAATGAATTCTAAATTTGATAACATATTGTTGTCTAGAATTAATGCAAAAAAATATTAAATTCTATGACATGACAGAAAAAGTGAAATAACAATGCTAAAACCCTAGGTGTCAGGTTGCACATTCTGCCCGGAAGAAAGGAAAGTTCTTTTTTGCCTTGCCTTTATGCCATATTTGTACGAAGAGCTCTCTTGCATGCTGATTTCATTGCTTTTCAAGCTATTTAACTCTCAGGAGTTCAATTTTCTCAGTTTTGAAAATCTATTGAAATGTGCGAAATTTAGTTTTGCAGGGTAGTGGTAGTTCTTTAGAAGACTGCATCATTCATCTTTTGTGCCCCTGTTGCACCCTGTGTCAGGTTTGTTACTGAACCCTCTCTTTTTTCTGGTTTTTGAATTTTGTGCTAAGCTGGTTTATAGATGTTTCTTTTGAGTAGGTGTGATTGTTTGGTTCGACCTATGATACAAATAAGCCAAATTTTTATGTTTATGTTTGGTGTTCGGCTTGATAATTTATCATGCCAAAATACAAACGAGATTATGTAAAGTTCAATTATTCTCTCTCTCTCTCTCTCTCTCTCTCTCTCTATATATATATATATATTCTTTTTTGGGGGAAAGAGCAGCGGTGACTCCCTACGCGTTAATATTTAAAAAGAAAGTACAAGGATAGGGAGGGGGAGATAATCCCCTTCTAGAAAACACAAAAAAACACTATATATATATATATATATAAAAATGTCATGATTCTGAATTTGGATGACATTTTGGGAATGATAGAACTATTCATAAAATTTTACAATCTGGATTTTATTGGCCTACTCTATTTAGAGATGTTAATATATATATATATATATATATTCCAGGAAAGAGCAACTAAGGCTCCTTACATGTTAATAGATAAAGGAGGTTACAAGTATTGGGGGATTAGATCCTCCCAAAAGAAAAGGGAAACAAAAAATGCCTACTTGCTTGATATATATATGGACACATATATATAGTAGCTACACCAAACAAAATAAGGAGATATATGCATATATCTATATATATCCCATTAGCTTCACAAATATATCTACTACTCCAAAAATATTACAGGGTTTTAGGGGAGTGCCATATTATCTCCATTCAGAAGAAATTTTAAATTTGGTGTAAGTGCCTTCCCAACATAAGTCTGTTCAGTATTCCTACCCTGTTCCTACCCTTAATGTGCTGGACAATTGCCCTCCCTAAGGATGTAGTTAAATTTCACCATGCAGCTGTGTAAAAGGGCATTCAGCTGTCTATTCCACATGATTAGATTCCAGGGAGGAGTTTCATCATGGAGTAAAATATTGAACAGTAGAGTCAGTTTCTACAAGCAAAGGGCCCAGATGACAGTAGCAAGCAATTCTAATAGCCC